ACCCGACCCCCCCCCAGCCCATCCACCTCCTCAACACCCCCCCGGAAGGCCACGTACGGAGGGGCCCAAAGTCCGTACGTACGGGCCGTACGGGTGCCGGGGGGCCCGTACGTACGGACGGGCCGTATTCGTACGACCGTATACACAGGTCAGCGAAGGGCCAGCAAGGCCAGATGCCTCGGGGGGCAACTGGCCTTGCGGCTAGACGCCCCCCGGACACCACACACACTACACAACCACATACACAGACACAGACATAGCCACAGCCACAAAGCACAGACTCAGTCCATGTTAAAGTCAGTTCGGAGGTGGCACTCCACGAGGTGCCTGTCTACTTGCCCGGGGTGATAGTCGAAGCTGCCCTCCAAGAGCTTCTTGACTATCGCCCAACACCTTTGGGTTTCAGAGCCATTCTCAAACATGACACTTACTATTTCGTTGATCTCCTTGGCGGCCTCCCGTGGGTCAGTGCAGAGCAGGAGGATGAGCGCAGTCTGTGCTGTAATAACCTGCAATGATTGTGCAATGCTTCGGTTCGAGTTGAACCTCATGAATCTACAAGGGGGAAAGCTCATACCTTTTTTCTTGTCGTGCTTAGAGGTGGAGTATGTGCCCTGCTCCCTGGATGAGACCGCAATCGTCATGTTGAGGAAGTTGGTACTGATGCCCACTTCGCCGTCCTTCACTTCAGTGGTCTCTTTCATCTCGATGTAGCTCTTCGGATAGATCCAGATTGGGTTAGTGATCTGGTCGCAGTCTTCCTTGAAAAACTCACGAGTCGATGGATTGTTCAACGAGCAGAGATCGTCCACATATCTGTAGGTGTCGTCGAAGGCTGGCACCAGTCGCTCGTTGCCTGTCCTCAGAAATCTGATCATCGCTTGGTACTCATACCTGAAGAAATAGATGTCACACCAGACCGGTGAGCAGGCCAGGCCCATCGGTATACCCAGCACCTGCTTCCAGACGCATGTGCCCATCTGTACCAGGTTGTGTGTCAGGCACCACTGCGTTACTGCTACTATCTCCTCCTCGTTGAAGAAAAGCTCATTGCCCGTATTCTGCAAGCGTTCCTCTACCCAAGATGGGAAGTACCCGTCAGCACTAACCCTGACCCTGATGACGTCCCTAGAGCTCCTATCCCTACGATATTCCAGGGCTAATTGCACGAAAAATCTGACTGCCATCACTAGGCTGTGCTCTGAGTCGTCCGTAGGGATGGTCTCAAAGCACCGCGTGATGTCCGCCGTATATACTGAGAACAGTAGTTGTGGAAGATTGGTCGCGAATTGCCCGACTGATGCAATGGGCCACCAGAGGTTCGGCTTCACTCCGTATTCAGCCTCCATTTCAATGCTCTTTTCTTCACAGGTGCCCTGTACGCAAGGGATGAGGAAGCTGAGCAAGGAGGCGCATAGGCTCGCCATCGGGGAGACGACGGTATTGGCGGTGTTGGTGATCCATCGGAAGGTCCGTTTGTGTGCTTTATAAACCGTCATGAGGTGTGGGAGTGCTCCGTTGCCAACATGGAGGGCTGGCAAATGGGTCAGTTCCCCTCTAATACTATCAATGAGTGGATCCGGATCCTCGTTCAGGGGAACGAAGTCCGAACCTTGCAGCTTGCGCAGAGCCAGGACCCTGATGAATTCTACGCAGACAAAGGGTGGGGTACTCGCAGACTTATCGGTAGGACAGATCAGAAAGTGGTCAGTCAGAAAGTCTATCTCCCTTCTGGTACTCGTCCGGTCTATGGGTTCTGCGGAGATATGCCTATTCTTGCTGCAGTGACCGACCATCTTGGCCTCAGCCTTCTGCAAGACCAGCTGTTTGAGCTTCCTCCTGCGTGATTCGCTCTTACTCGCGATGTCATAGGAAACGATAACAAGCTTGTCTAGTAGAAGGTCGACCTCATACAATGCTTCGCCGATGTCGTATGCCCTTAGTGGAACATGGTTGAGTCCTGCCTTCAGCATCGCCTGCAGCCAACCGTTGTTGATGATGGAAGTGTCCATCGTCAGGACGTGCGTCTGCTCCGATCCCGGGAAGAGCTCCAGGGTATGTTGGCTGTGTAAGCTCAAGTACCTGTTGGTTCTGCACCGGCACTGAGTTGGATCGTACTGCTTGGTCCACTGCTCAATGTCGAAATCCTTGAACAACTGCTTTGGCCTGCACACGTGCGCTGCAACAGATTTGTCGTAAGTCCATCCGAACACGATGCCATCCAGCCATTGCGCCGCTTCTTCGCCTGCAAACCTTCGGAAAGCATCCTTAATGAGCCTGCGGATTGAGAAAGCCTCCATGGCTCTGCTGGTATACTTCATGTGCAAGAAGGTCAAATTCTCCCGCTTGTGCTTCTTTCAGACCAATCTCCCAGTTGGCAGTCGAATCATCTCCCCACCTGTCGCTTCGTCCCCATCGCCCAGCCTGGGATCCTGCCGAGAGAGAGGGGGAGAAGGAGGAGGAGGGGTTTGTAGTGGGGGAAGGGAGACAGCTCGGATCACAATCGGACCACATGGACGGTTCCAGTTCTTGATCAGCACGACGCAGGGGCCGAGGCCTCGAGCGGCAAAGAATCGGGGGGGAGGGAGGAAAGGGGGTGGGGGTGGGGCAGAAAAAAGATTATGCACTCAGATACCCAACTTACGCTAGCAGACCCATGACTCAGGACTACGCTTCAATTTATATACTCAGGTACCCATATACAAACCCATATATACATGCATATATACATATATATATATATATATATATATATATATATATATATAGTCGCAATAGGACAAAAAAATGCAGTCCTAGACCTCCGCCAATTTACTCGATGTTGGCGAACCTAGCCAGCGTTCGATGCTATTCATTAAGGCACCTCAACACCTATCGATGTGCAAACCTGCAGGGGTTAATCAAAAACAATTGACGAAACGAGCTCCCTTCCTGCTGCAGGATGCATAGCCGGTAAGCCCAGTTCCCTATACTATGCTGCGTGCACTATTGCAGCTCACATACTACTGCAGACCTGTGCTAGGGGGGGTGTCCGTGCATCCAATTGCGCTGATCCTATCTGTGCAGATCTAACTTAGGGATGACGGAGGTTACTTGTGAGGAGTGGTGCTGTCCAATTACGGTGTCAAAATCTGAATACCCCTGTTGTGGGTGGTCTTCCTCCTCTGCCTTTTGCTCGGCTGCGAGTGCACTTAGTCAATGTCCGACGTATCCTCTGACGCCCTCTTCTTCTCTCCGCGTGTTAGCGGAAGCCGCGCTGCCAGCCGTCGTGCCGATACTGGGGTGGCGAGAATAGGTGGCTGCCCGCTCTGCTGAGAAGGTCGCTGCCCTGCTCCCGTTCGCTCATGTTCGCCCCGCGTAATCCCCTGCTGGACGATGCTGCCCCTTGGTGGCTGAGTCCGTTCTTGCCTATGGAGGGCGAGGCCACTGCTGCATCCTGCCGCTGCTGCCAGTAGATCAGCAGCAGTCTCCTTCAATCGCTGTGCTTGCTGTAAGACGGGCTGCTGCCGCTGCTGGCCTGCGTGCGCCGTGCCGTGATCAGCCTGCTCTTGTGCGGGCTGCGCCTGCGCAGCTACTGGTGGTACATCACCGACCGCCCTGTTGACCATTTGGAAGTTGAGTCTGCCCTGTCCCGGAATCTGAGCGATTGGGTTCCTACCCCTGGGGGGTGGCAGGACCCTCCTTGGTCTGTCAAGGATCCTCGTCGGAAGGAGGAGTCTGCCAAGTGTCGGTGGGAGTTGATACCTCCACAGCCGTTCATCCCTGATCACCGTCTCGGCTGTGCGCTGCGGGTCCTGCTCCAGCGCCTCGATGAAATCCATCATGATCTCTCTAACGAACAGGAATGTGATGCAACCCGTCACAACCTCCCGCCACGTGGTCCTAAGGTAATGGACTAGCATCGACGTCCTGACTTTGATCGAGGATGACGTGGGAAAGAGGACGTCTGGGTGCGCTAAGAGGTACCAGATGGCGTGGTCGACCCACAGGGGTCCGCCGGGATAGTCCTTATCCTGATCTCCTTGCCTGCAACTGCACTTGAGGTCTACCGGCTCTCCTGACCTTGCAAAGATTGCTCAGGTCACGTGCTGGAGGTTGCTTGATGGCTTTGTGCCACATGACCGGGCCAGAATCCCGACATTTCTCCGGGTCCACGTAGCTCATCAGTGGGAAGACCAGGTCACTGGGCGAAAACTGATTGACCAATTTGCCACAGTACTTCATCTGTGCGGTGTACGCCCGGGTCCTGCACTTCCTAACTTGATTGTCTGTAAGACCAGCCAGGAGTTGAAAGGCTTTTACCGAGATCGGTGCCAAGTGATTGTACATATCGAATTTCCATACACGGTGACCGAAGCCGGTCGAGGTGTGTTCTATCCATCGTTGCGAGGCTAAAGGCGCAAAGGTCGTGAATTGCCTGGACGAGGAGGCCGATCGTCCCGGGCCTGGGGGCAGCAACCCTCCTCTGCGAGGGCTGGTGCACTGTCGCCGAGATAGTAGCGATTGCTTGCTGCATTTCGGCTATCTCTTCCTCATTGAGCTCAAACGGCGCGCAGCCAGCCGTTTGGCTAGGCTGAGGAGGGGCGGCCTGTTGTGCGGGTGCAGCTGGCGGAGGTACTGGTGTTGGCGGAACAAGATCTCTCAGGTGCGAGTCGGTCAGTCCCCAGGCGCCCAGGAAGATCTGCTCTACTCTAGCTTCTCACCCGTAATCCATTTTCAATCGTTCTAAGTCTGCTCCTAGACGCTCAATCTCCCCTTGGAACCCAACGGGGTTGCTGTCCCATGCCGTTGCCAGTTTTGCCAGGTCACTGAATCCCACCATCTCAAAGCAGTTAGGGAATCGGCCGGTTTCCCATACTTCCCTGACGACCTCCATTGTCTGCGTCTTCATACATGCGATTAGTGCTTGAGCAGGTTTGCTGGGGGACGGGCACTGCTCGAGCCAGGGAAATCTCTCGGTGATCTCGCTCCACCAACCTCCTGGGAAATCCTCGTTGGGAACAACCTGTAATTCACAAGACGGGTTGTGCACAAAAAAAGAAAAAAGAAAAAAGAGGAAAAGAGAGGAGGAAAGGCGCCAGAACAAGAGGGAGGGGGAAGGGGGAAGTAGAGAGGGACGGGCCACTCGCAATTGTTATCCTGATGCAACTCGTGGTCAATTCAGCACGCCATACCTCACTGCTCAGTCCTTTCGATGTCATCACCTTGCTTCGAATTTCTGGCTATCCTCCTTCGTGTCCCGCTGTAATGGCGTCTAAGCAGTACGGGGTGCGGCTGACAGGGGCACCCATCAGCAGCGCTGCGGGGATAATCCCACTCGTGTGTGTTTTGATGTGTGTGCATAAAACACTCCACGGCAAGTTACACTATGCCAGGCATACTGCTGCGATGACACGCCATCGACACACCCCAAGCTTAGGAAAAGTCGAAAGTATGGCCGATTCTAATTGTGGCGCAAAAAACATCTACTCGGATCTCCAAGTGATCCCGACATCCCATGAATCCTTCCACTGTTACGTGAATAATCCTAATGCTGGCCCAGATAAGTCATCTCTCCGGTGCCCTTGGCTTGGGTCGTTGAATGCGTGAGCACCGCGCCTGCCTGCATACTTATTAACTAGAGGGGTCCTATCGGCTTGGGAGATTGTTTTATCGAACAAGTTGTTTATGTAAGATCCAACTGCCCCCATTCTCCGCCCATCCTAATCGACAATGTACGATAGTGTCGTAACTTCGATTGTAAAAAGTTCTTGCATGGAATCGGTGCAATGGATCAGTACCCCACAACGGTTCAAATGAAGTAGAGCGTCGCCTACCGATTTTGACAAGGCGACGATCCTCGACAGAAAGCAGAGGGAGGTCCTATCTCAATCGTGAGCTATGCAATGAGAGTCAACTTATAAGTTTCGATGAGGCAGGAACAGATAAAGGCAGAAGAAAGAATTCTTAGGTAGGGTTTTTTTTTTTGGGGGGGGGGTCTTTCTATGCAACGAGAGACTGATAAATGCCTAAGCAGATCAGTATCTCGCCACACCGTTCCGGCCCTCCCGCATACGGAACAATATTAAAAACAGAGTGGTCGACCAACCCGACAGTTTCCGAGGATTGCCTCTTTAGAAAGGTGAAATCCTGGTGGAAAAAACGGGGATAAAGCAGACAGCGAAACCATGCACGAAAAAACGCATGCTCAAAAAATAGGCAGACATGGATAAAAAAGAAAAAATGCACGAAAGATCGCATGCACGCAAGAGAGGGAGGGGGTTCAGAGTGGATTAGACAATTGTCCACATGCTATGAGGGGCGGACTAATGCCTCGAGAGAGGAAGATAAGCGACTCGTCATCCCATTAAGATCCCCAAATAGTATTACCACAAGCCGCGTTAGAGCAGCAAGGCATTTTCCGAGGGTTTTCTTTTTTCGAGGGGCAGATGCCTGGTGGGACGCTTCCTATAAAGGTTACGTTAAGGCAAAAATCCTAATCCTAAGAGGCAGAGCAACAAAAGTTCAAATGAAGTAGAGAGTCGCCTACCGATTTCGCCAAGGCGATTTCCTCGGCAGAAACCAGAGGGAGGTTCTCTCTCAATCGTGAGTTATGCAATGAGAGTCAACTTGTAAGTTTCGACGAGGTAGAAACAGATAAAGGCAGAAGAAAAAATTCCCCGGTAGGGGTTTTTTTTCGGTTTTTTTTTTTAAGTGAGCATGCAACGAGAGACTGATCAATGCTTAAGCAGATCAGTAGCTCACCACATCGTTTCGGCCCCTCCGCATATGGAACAATATTAAAAACAGAGTGGTCGAGCAACTTGACAGTTTTTGAGGATGGCCTCTTTAGAAAGGTGAAATCATGGTGGAAAAAAAGGGGATAAAGTAGACAGCGAAACCATGCACGAAAGACCGCATGCTCGAAAACTAGACAGACATGGGTAAAGAAAAAATGCACGAAAGATCGCATGCACGCAAGATAGCTAGACAATCATAAAGCTTGACAAAGTTTTGAAAAAAGCTTCTTGACGGAGACTTCCCCTCAGGGGGGCGAAAAATCCGGCCAAGGTCTTTTGACAAAAAAAAAATTATGCAATTTTTTAATCAAGGCACCGCTTCTAAAAAATAGGGATGATGCAAGAATAAAAAAGCAGAAAGACTCGCGAGACATTCAGTCACAACTGAGATCCTAAACAGAAGAAAAATCATCCACACAGAAAGGGAAAGTTCCTCAAAATTATGCGAAAACTTCAAATTGTTAGTCCAGAAATACATGCTCCGACTTCGAAAAAGCAGCTACCCATCCACAGTAATCATGGTGCCAAGGACATAGGGAGAAATAGAAGGACGAAGGGAGGCAGATAGAAATAAGGGGGAGAGATAGTCCTGCACCGTGCAGACATTTGGCTCCGTTATCGCTCAAGGCGAGAGAACCTGCAGCAGATCCACAGGAGGGAGTGGCATTTCCCTGAGGCCTTTCTGCCGCTTGCCACGCGCGGCTTCATCAGACGGAGAGAGGAGGGTGAGGGAGAGGAGAAGAGGAGAAAATAGGGGGGCTCGTGCGTCGGGTAAAGGAAAAAAGAGGGAGGGTTGGGTGAGGGAGAGATTGAGAAACCGTTCCCCCTTCATCTTCTTTTCTCTCGTGCGCGTGTACGTGCGTGCGAACGCTGCCACTAGCTTGCCAGAGCTTGCAATAGAAGAATGCCGCCGGTTGCTATTGCACACACTGCTCCCGCCAGGAAGATCGCTGCATAGGCAATGGGGAAACAGACGAACGCAGTCGCGAGCTTGGCTGGGGCGAAAAGGACCTTCTCCGTTCGGCAGGCCCAGACAAGGGAACCGCTAAGGAGCATATTGGGGATGAGTGCCATGATCAGTGTTGACGTGCAGAAGATAATGCGCGCAGTGTTGTGTGCGTTTGGATCGGCGATTGGTGCAGCGCTAGGATGTTGGGGGGAGGGGGGGCAGTCGGAGCTCAGGTGAT